CGGATTATCGAGAACGTGCCGTTTTTCATGACGGAAACTAAAAATATAATGTAATCGCGTCAAGGAACATTGTAAAGCTCTGTTTTTTTTTGTGGCGGAATGCCGTGGAATTTCTGAGATTAAACAGCGATAATCAGATTTTTTTTTTCATTCACCGATAATAATTGACAGGCGTTGCTGCTCTTCTTGGAAATGGCTTGTGGCAGATTTGACGGCACTTGTATGGCACCAACAAACCTGAACGAACTTATTTTATGTTTCTGACCCTCGCCCCTCCATATTGAAGCCGGAGTGTCCTTCTGGGTGCCGTATTCATGTTTCGGTTAAAATATCACCTGCCCTAAAAGTTATGCTCTAACATTTCAAGATGATGATGTCTCTTTTAACTGTAGCAATGGCTGCAATGCAGGGAAATTTGTGTATTTTTTTAGCAGTAATCGGCTAACAAGGACAATTCAAGATTATTGAATTAGCAATGAGATGCATACTACGAAGAATTGGTTTTTAATTTTTGAGACAACGGAATTTGACGTTACTGGAGATACGTGCACATTTTTAAAGTCATCAATCCTTCAGCCTATCCAGCTTGAAAAAGTGGTCAGGAAGTGTGTGAAGTGTACGTGTCTCTGCATGCATAATACTGAAGGTCATGCTAGAGCAGATGAGTAAAAGCATTCCATTCACAATATTCAAAAAAATTCAAGTCAAAAGAAATTTTGAATTTTGGGGCAGGTTTCTAACAATTCAAGCACTTCCTAAAGACAAATTTGGATCTCTGCAACAAAATGCAGGGGACCAGAAAAAAGTTTCAGAAATAACTTGTTTGCAGAGACTGTCAAAATCTGTAGCAATGGTAGAGATCCCTATGGGACAAAAAAATTCCTTATGCAGAGAAATTGATTGCAAAACATTGTTGTAGAGAGAGTGGAAGTCATCCCAACTTCTAATTCCCTTGAAAAAATATACAGCCAGCTCAAATGTAACTTTCAAATTTAAGAGATCGGCGCGAAAAATGGCATGCGCATAATTGTCGGGAACAAATTTTTAAATCACAGGTCTTAAAAATTGCAAGCTTTCCTTCCCACTTCCAATTTTTTCGAGATATCTCCTTCAAATATATCTGATCATTTGCATGAAAAAAATACAGGTCGATTGTCTCTACAATGGTCTGGCCTACAATTATTTTCTCGGTATAATTATATTTTTTATCCCATAGGGGTTCTCTCCCCATGTTATCAGGGTTCTCTACAAGAAAATTCTCTCTAAAACGACTTTTCTGGTCCTTGCTTGAATTCCGTTGTAGAGAGAGCGAGAGTCAACCAGCATTCACATTGAATTTTTTTTTAAAGAGGTCTTAAATTACGATTTTTACGCAGCATAGTTTTTCAAACAGGAATTTTGGTGACTTAAAACAAAGGTGCACCTTTTTATGCTGGGTTTTAATTTTTTCCGAAATGTAGCTAAAAACCTAAGGTGCGCATTGTCTCACTCGAGGGTGCGTGGTACTCCAGTAAAGTATACTGCATACTCGGGAGACAGCTAACGATGCCAGCCAATAACCCGGGTCCAGTTGAATGAAAGTGCGGCATAACCGCAGCTGAAGTATGTAGAATGTTTTCGGGACGTCGACGAAGCGAATGATGCCGGGCTCAAATCGGCGTGATGCATTCCCCGGGAAAAGTGAACTGAAGCCGCAGTACGGTTGACTGGCACGCTAATGCGCGTGAGAGGGATTAGTCTGGAGGGAATTTAGACGGAACGGTTTGTGTTGGAGGTGACGTCCGAAAAGGAATGAGGAGCGTTCGGGTGTCGTAAATGCCAACGAGAGTGTTGTCCGGGTCCTCGCCGCGACGTGCCGCGCATGTTTCTGCCGGCCCGCCGTAATTTACATGAGAATTCGTTGTCCCGCGCGGGTTCGAACCCACCTGAGGCCGGGTCGCCCGCGGTCTAACCCCCCCACTCCCCCAATTTTCTTTGAACGTTTTGTGGCATTCGGACACGACGTTTGCCCGCTCTTGCCCGAGGGCAGGATTCAATTTTAGGCTATCAGCTCTGCTTCGGGAGAGAAGGAATAAAATCGGAGATATAAAAAGAAGGAAAACTGGAGTCGCAGCGTGATCCCCCGCCGAGGAAGGGAACGAACCGGCCCATCAGCAGTTCTGCGTTTTATTGCTTTTTCTCCGGGTTTGACACCTAAACGTCCATCTCTATACAGGTGGACTCTCTCCTACGAAATTAATAGGAGCAGAAAAACATCTTCATAGAGAGAATTTTGTTGTACGTGAAATCTGTTCTGTTGAAAAGATAATACATTCATCAGACTCCCTTTATATCGATTTTCTCTATACAGTATAATGAATTATTTTTTGGTCCCTTAATGTTCTCTCTCCATGTTATAGGCGTTCTCTCCAACGAAGTTCAAGGAACCAGGAAAAATCTTTGTAGAGAGAATTTCGTTGCAGAGAATGCCTATAAGATGTGTAGAGAACATTAAGGGACCGAAAAATAATTCATTATACTGTATAGAGAAAATCGATATAAAGGGAGTCTGATGCATGTATTATCTTTTCAACAGAACAGATTTCACCTACAACAAAGTTCTCTCTACAAAGATGTTTTTCTGGTCGTTGCATTTTCGTTGCAGAGAGCGTCTATAACATGAGTACCCATGTTAAAGGCGTTCTCTCCAACGAAATTCAAGGAACCTGGAAAAATCTTTGTAGAGAGAATTGCAAAGAAATTCTCTCTACAAAGGTTTTTCCTGGTTCCTTGAATTTTGTTGGAGAGAACTCGTATAACAGAGGTAGAGAACCTTACGGGACCAATGAATAATTCATTATTTAGAGACAATCTTCACACAGAGTCTAGATGTATCCTATTTTTTCTCGTGTTCTCAAGCTATAACCTTACCGATTTAAAAGACTAACGTTTTCAACATGCCGCCCCCAAGTCAAATCTAAGATGATTTACAGTACAATAATTACCTTTATTTACTCGATAAAAATTCGAAATTTTCTAATAAATGTAATTTTCGGTTTTTTTAGACATTTGAGAACTCTCTGCCAAAACTCGAAGATGAATGTGGTCTTTCGTCGATATAATGATAATACTTTTTTGTGCGTGTGCTACTTGGATTTTTATGATGGAAGAAACAATTCCTGCCATTTAAAATAACGAAGAAAGGCTACCTTTTTTCAGTTGGAAATTTACTGGCAGTTACTCTGAAGGAGGATAATATTTCTTGATGTAGGAAGATATGTTGTAGGTGGAAATTTCACATATTTTATCAACTATTATCCTCTCATAAGTTTCATTCAATGCAATTTTACCCTCTCGAATGGCGTTGCAAAATTGTGTGCTGTCTAAAGTCGCACGCTGTTCAAAGTTGCTGAAATACTATACGTCCGGAAAGAATGAAAATTTTTATTTTTATATGATATAAGACTGCAACCATTTTTTTCGGCTTCGATTTTAGAAAATATAACAATACATTGGAACAGGATTATTATGAAAAACCCCCTTCGTATTGAAATAGGGCTGCACGCTTTGATAAAGAATCGCTCTGCGTTGAAGAAAAATAATGACTCATTTAAAATATAAAATCTGACGCCTGTCATTCTTCTTTCTCAGCCAACAGCGCTTTGAACGCATTTCCATCGGAGGCAGTACTGCGACGTAACTCGATCAACCTTTTATGGTAGTTCAAAGAATCAGGGCTCGTCGATAATGACTAATATCGGATTCTATTTTGTGTAGCAGGTTTTGCGTTCCGCCGATAACGAGCATTTACATTTGGCATCGTGTTTCACTGCAGCTGTTCGTTTTTATGCGTGTGATTATTCTTACTCTCGACGCTGTTTGGATGTGAGAGAAATACGAATAGTCTTTCTACCACGAAAGTTCTAAAAAGAAATTCTCAGGATGGAAATTATCAATACGGGAGAATCTCTTGATGGAAAGCATCATGAAGAGTTGAAAGGAAAAAAATCTTGAAAGAAAAATCCATCGTGTTCAGGGAGTTAAGCTGGGGTCCGAAATATAATATGCAAGCAAGACGGATTCGTTATACTCAGATTTTCCTGTGCAACGGCAAATTTCGTTATAGAATAGCTGTACTGCGAGTTCTCCCTTTGGCGTTCAGCTGTTTAAGGAGCAGAAAATTTTTTTTCTAGGGAGTATACTTGTATCATCTTTTTCATTCGCACGCGAAAATCCCTTGAAAAAATTTCATTAGAAGTGAACCCATAAAACTTTGGACTATCGGGGCTCGACTTCATCTTCAACGGAGAAGCTCTTCGTGTTGTATAGAAATGAACGCTGTGTTTTTATGCGGCATGAACGAAGCATGTCTCACCCCTTCTCCTGTAATCGCCAACAGGTACTTCCCGAATTTATGCTTGCATTGTTTTTTTTTAAAGCCGAGCGTGTAATGCAGCAGCTGAACAATACCCGCTTGAACAGTTCAACAATTTTTGCGGGAAATGTAGTTGGCCAGGTTGATGCGTTTCAGTATTTTCCCTGTCAGCTGCAATATTGCCTACGCGTACGATCTCGACCGAGATTTCCAGTTTTATCCGTTTTATCCCGAAAATCGGGGTTTGTGTAGTCAGACTGTGTTTTATTTCATTTTCTTCGGTTTCGCTTGGCTTGTATGAACATATGGTGAAGCCTTGCTGGAAAGGTACGCGAAGCAGTACTGAAATTTTCCCTCGAGTGACCATATGGCATCTGAACTCTTTTTTTTCGCGTTTCCGTTGACGTTTTAACGACACCGACGCGGTGAGAGAAAAAGGCGATCCGGGATTGTTCCCATGCAACCCAGGCAGAAAAATCGGTGGCACCGCCCGGGATTATTTTTCATGCACCGACAATAGATTTCAATTCGTGCCGAGCAAGAGAGAAAAAAAAAAACCTGAGATAGATTGCATCCGCTTGAAGACGGCGAAATGTTGGCCAGCTTTTTCTGGCCTCGAAGAACACTTTCAAAGCATTCATCGCCGATGATCTGGAAACGGATTGCGAACCCCGCGAATGTCCTCATGGCTGCTTGGCAAAAAGGCTGGGTTCGACTTTCCTGGCAGTTGGCCCTTTTATTCAGCGGCCACAACAGTGTGGTTTTTGTAATAAGTTCTTCGTCGTTTCCCGCATCGTCCGTCCTTGGTTATAGCAATGGAAAACGTGCCATTCGATGTAATTAACCACGAGAGGAGTGTTACTCACGTTCCTCTGAAGTGATCAGAAGTTAATGGAGGATAGATCATGACTGACAACGCTTTTCAGGGTGAAAGTTGCAATCTTTTGCTCGGTTTCTTGCAAAATTGTGCCTTTTATTCTTTGTCTAGCGATTGTTTCTCGTGGAAGGCTGACAGACAAATGTGTCTCTGTTTTAAAAAAAATATATCACTTCACGCTTTCTGAAAAACAAACTCGAGTGTGTTACGCTTTTCTTCAAAAAGTACGGATCTGTAAAAATGGCTTAGATGCATTATAAGCTTTTTCCTCGTCGACTCGTTCATCATGATTTGAACATTTCCATTGATCACCTTTGTTATGCAATCGAATCTTTTCAAGTCGAACTTCAAGAGACCAACACAAAATTTCGAGTTAGGGAAGCAAGCATTTTTGTAGGAGGAAAGTAAATTATTTTACAGGAAATTTTAGTTGACGATATTCTGGTTCTTAAATTGCACTTCAAATGATTTGACAGGGTGATGAATTTGAACTCGAGGGTTTATTTGCCAAATATTTCATTCACTTCCTTTCAAAACGCATCAATTTATATTTGTATTTCTTTTCTCTTCTCTGTGTCAATAAAATAGTAGCCAAAAGGCCGCCAGAGAATTCGAGTAGGAAGGTTTTAATGCATGGTTTAAATGAAATTAAGGCAGGGGTTTGAAACAATAAATCGAAATACGGAGGCATTCGACTTACTCAGCACTGAATGCATTAAAAGTGCGTCGAAATTTATTTTTAGAAGATAAATGTTCTTGTGATTTTTGTTCTTTTCCAGATGGAAGATGACGAGTGTGTTCCGTGCGACGGAGTGTGTCCACGTCAGTGCAAAGCCGATGATGAGGTGATCCACTCGGGGAATGTGGGCGCATTTGAGGGTTGCGAGATGATCGAGGGTTCCATCAAGATCATGGACCATTCTTTCACGGGGTTCCGACCACTGGGTAAGGAAGGGTCCACGTTTCTCGGCGAACCACATCCGCCGATGCACCCGGACCGACTCGAAGTTTTCTCGTCTCTCCGTCGCGTCACCGGTTTCATCAGCATCCAAGCGAATCATCCTGCTTTCAAGAACTTGTCCTACTTCAGGTAAGCATCGAGCACCTTTTCCCTGCAAAGCATTTTTGCTGTTGGTCAGAACTTTTCAGAGGGTTTTCAATGAAATCATATAGCCTTTTCTTTCGAAGAAAAAAAAAATCTTGCGCAATTCAAGCCGCCACAGCATGACTTTCTTCGCGAGCTAAAGCGTGCATAGAAAGTTAATGAGCTGTGAAAAGCTCGTCATCCATGTTAAGGATAGAATTCTTACGTTCTTCTTCCCTCGTACGAACTGTTTCATTGCGGGTAGATGTCACTGGTAGTTCCAATGCAATTTCAATTTACTGCGAAATATACTTCGAAGACTTCTATGAAAGGAGCGTGACCTACATTTTCATTATATTGCAGTGTCTTGTTATGACAACATCAGGAAACATGTATAACTGAAACTAACTTAGCCTTGCACCAAACATAATTCCGAAAGTTGAAAGATTCGATTCTGAATTTTATCGCACGTAAATCAGCGTTCCAAAGTTTTTTTTTTATTTATATGAAATAATAATGTCTGCTTTTGCGTATTTTCAAAGTGCAAAATATAAGCCTATATAAACTGTTGCTGGCATTATTATACTGTATTTCATGATCACTTTCGATGGACTTCCGCTTGATTTCACTCGGAATTCAAGTAACCATTCAAGTAAGCCTTTTTCCGTTGCTGTTGGGGAACAAGTCGGGCACCTGTAAATTATAATAACTCCCCGCTGCATCTCAAAAACTGGTCCTTTGCATCAGCCAAGCCACCAGCACCAAAAAACGAGTCCTGAAGGAATTGTAGGACGGCGATTCCAACATAATCAGCCAATCAGAGGCCAATATTTTGCCCACAAGGAAAACCACTTATGTGAAGAGCTCATCTTAAGATATCTGAATTTGTTATTGTGTTGTTTGAAATGTGTGTGCAAGGTCCAAATTTAGTTGAGTTGCATTTATTATTTGGGACATTATTAAACACTCAATACTTTTGGGGCCTCTTTAAAGAGGCTCCCAGCCAGTCCCAGGCTGAATGTTGTGTTTTATTCATCTTTCTCATATTTTCTTTGTGGAGACTTTTTAGTCTCTAACAGTTGCACAGCAACTTGAGGACACGCTGTTCCGCGATTAGATCAAGGAACTTGAATTTTCTTGCCATTGAAACCACCTATAAGTTTTAGATCTTTCATCTTTTGGTAAAAATGATTGCCCAAAAAATTGTATTTAAAAGATCTGAGAAAGATGACGTGCAACACAGAAAAATAATTTGAAATTTGCAACGGTCTTGACAAATTTTTAGTACACTGTGAAATGAGTAGAAAACTCTCGCTGCATCGGGAAAGTTTTCACCTCTCCTTACCAAATGTAATGGAAAGTATTCCCAAACATCTGAAAAAAAATCCAAAATTCTTGAAAATTTCACGAGATGTGAGAAAGATGATATCCAATGCAGAAAAATAATTTCAAATTGTGCAACTGCCTTGAGAAACTTTTTAAAGACGCCGAGAAGCGCGCCGTTTTTTTGTTTTGTTTTTGTTTTTGGTAGAAAGAAGTGATGGAAGAGCTAAAGTTTTCGAATTCCAATTTATTCATTTTAATCTCCATTCTGGACAGGAACCTGGAGGAGATCAAAGGCGTCGATATGACAGAATTTTCGTCTGCTCTTTACATCATCAAAACTTCGTTGGAGTTCCTGGGTCTGCGATCCCTGAAGACCATAATGGAAGGAGCTGTTTCGATCCTGGAGAACGACAAGCTCTGCTTGGTGGATTCCGTGGATTGGTCACTCATCAAGCGGTCGTCGTACATGCCTCTGTTGATGAACAACTCGAGTCCGGAAAAGTGCCGTAAGTACCTCCGACTGTCGGTTTAATGGCTCTTTTACCGTGTCATTATCATTACCATGCCCGTGATTTAATGCGCTTCTTTTCGTAATGGGCGAAGGTCGGGCCGGGCTCGTGTGCCACAAGCAATGCAGCGACGAGGGTTGCTGGGGCCCTGGGCCTGATCAATGCGTTTCCTGTCGGAATTTCAAGTTCGAGCAGAGCTGCGTCGACGCCTGCAATCCGAGAGACGGGTAAGCATGATCACCTTTGGTTTTTTTTTTTGCATCTCTGTGCGCTAACAAGGGTTTTCAACGTTTATATTCGAACTTGAAAAAAAATTGCTGAGGACGATATAAAGCCCTCAAAACTTGCAAGTCTCTTCGCTTCGAAATTCAAAGATCTTTTTTATTAATCTCCGATGACGAAACTGTCTATGAAAGATTTCAGTGTGGACTATTGAAACTGTTTGATGGCACGATATTTGCAGGTCACTCGAATTATTTTTTTCAAGTCAGATATCCGCCGAAATTTTAATTTTTATTCTGGAAAATAATTCCGAATTAGGGTCGAACTGAAATTCTAACTTGCTTGATTTTTAATAAATAGCTTTGGTTGTGGTACCACCTAATGATGACCAAAAACAGCCCGTGGTGTTCATACAACCAACCGGCTGAAAATTCCACTTCCTGTAAGGGATTTTTTACGCACATTTTTTTTACGTGCATGAAAAAAGATGTTTCCAACCACCAGCACCTTTCTATTTTTTTCATCATCAATTATACTTGTACCAGTCGTCGTGAAGCCCTAGTTGTTATGCAAGTATACTTCAGTGATTTGCAAGCAAATCTTCGCGTTTTCCCAGTAAACGATGCAGGTTTTATACCACTACTTTCGAAAAACATGTAGAGGATTTGATTTTTATTTTGGAAAGATTTTCTTTGCAAAAAATTCCGGAAGCTAGTATTTTGGAGAATTTTGATTTATGGCACCTTGCACATTTGTGCCTCAAATTCCTCAGAATTTACTTTTTAAAAATTCACATGCTATATTGAAGTATCCCTCGTCTCGGATTAAATAGCTTTTCGGTGATCAGCCCAGATATTGTAGGTTCCAACTTGGATGAATTTTCGCTTCATATTATGCTGATTAAACTTAAATTTTCTGTCACAAAGCCAGAGAGGATTCTATAATTCAAGAGGTGCTCGACATTGATCATTATTCCTTGAACTCCATCAGCTGGTAGGGAAAAACTTATCTCGACGGTATGGTGATTATTCGATCCGTCTGCTATATAAAATTGTTGATAATGTATCTCGTTTTTTTTTGGCCGTTGAGAAATTTATTTTGTGAAGTAACGGTTAAAAATCAAGAAAATTTTATCAGTGATAATTATTTCCTGCTTCTATCTTTCTTTTATCTTCTCTGTTATGTATGCGCCTCACTTACCTTGATTGGTATTCGAAACTTTACGGTTTTTTTAGGTGCAGATATTTGTAGTTAATGGTCCCGCTTTGGAACGGATAACTTTTAATGGTTCCTTGTGCGTCGTAGAGGAAGCTAAATGCGGCTTGGGTTCAGGATGCTGGGCATTCTTGGGTACCAGGGGGTGATCAGTTGATAATTTGCCGCCTGGTCGCTTCCGAAGATAACAAGGACTAATAAGCGGGTTCATTCGGGAAAAGTAACATTCGTAACGTGGATTCGGTGGACCGCGTTTCTGCGGGCTACCGATTAACCGAACTGACATTCTTCGCGTCTCTGCATACTAATGGCACAATTGATCGAAAAACAATCCTCGTGTTTTCCCGTTGCATCGCTTCAGCAACCTCGTGGATCGATGATTCAAGTTGGGCAAGACGAAATTACGAGGGAATTCCAGCCGCAAGTACCGTATTCCCATTGGAATATGATCTATTCGGAAAACGAACCCTAGAATACTTTTTCGGCTCGCCTCTGAATTTAAACCTCGTGAAAAGTTCTGGTTGATTTTTACATCAATAAAATTCATTTAGGATGTTGTGCCATATTCCAACGTTTCAACCAGCACTTTTTTATATCGAATCTGTTGCTATAGCTTTTTAGGATTTGAAAGAGGGGAAATATGCGATTCGATCATAGAAATTTGGATACAAATGTTCCAGTTCATCTGGTGAAGTCATCCTTCAAATCTGTTGGGTACAGGACCAAAGAAATCAATTTAAGAATAATAGAGCCTCCAGAGGACATTCACATTACATCTCATAATTGGTTTATGGGCCTTGAACTCGAATCAAGGATGCAGTATTTCATACTTATTTCTAAATGTCCTTGTAATATGCACCTCTTTTTTAATTTTACCTAGTTTTTATTTACTCAACCATCTGACGCACTTTTCCCTTTCGAAATTGGCACCAATCAGTGGGATGCGCATCACGCTCAAATTAAAACGAACGTGCCTGCAAATTTAAAAAAAATACTTGCGCGCATTATCCTTGGATCACGTAACATATCAATAATGAACTAGAATAAATCAAATTATTTTTGTATTTTAGTAAAAATTTATAATTAAAGCTGTTCTGATTCTTTAATTGTAAAACTTTTTTCACGGAAAAGGTGGGTGTGCGCGTCTCACCAATTGAATTGACCTAGAGTACTTCCATCTGTACTTCACTTAACAGAAAATAAAAAAAACAAGCAGGAAGCTTTCCGCTGTTCAAGTAAATCAAAAGTGATTGTCTAAAGATGTGAGTGAAGTTTGCAGAAGGCACAGGGTTTTAATACTTTGCTAGAACTCCTGGAAGTGAGTAAAGTCAGGTGCAAGACAGAGGCACTTGGCTTTTTTTCAAATAGTTTCAAACTGTTTTTGGACTTCCGCTTTCAAGAAGTGTTATTATGGTCATCGTTTTCAGACCATATTATCCGAATCCGGATTGTTGATCATGAAATTTGTGGTATGGTAAAATTCATGCTGGTGCCATCAGACCTCCGAAAGTTCCCATCATACAGATGAAGGTCTACAGATTCAACCCGGGAGACGCGCCGAATACTATTCTTCCGGCTTTTACGATTCACTGCCACGATTGATTCCTTTTTTTTTGTTTTTATATTTTATGTTCCTGAAGTTCAGGGAAATGTGTAATGAATCACGCATGCTCGACATAAAATGTTATGCCTTCCGTAAAATTCGAAGACAAACGTTCTCTCGAGTTCGCCCACGCATTCGGCTCGCTCAGGCATTTTATCCACGCGGGATCAAATTTATATCCCTGAAAACAAAATAAAAATAGTGTACCGAGTTTGCGTGTCGCTCCTCGACGGCGCCGAAAATGCGACCGACCCCGTCGTGATCCATCGAAGTATGAAATGTGGTCTCAGATCGTTGTGTCCACGCTTGGAATTGACATTTATGTTCGCCACGAGGAGTTTCGCGAAAGTTCTCGACACAAAGGAGCAAATCAATATTGCTCGTTGCGAAAGACTACCAACAAGTATTTAAGTATTTACAGTATAAGTTAGAGGAAGGACGGGGTGAGGAGACTCGTAGAGAAAATATTGAAAGTGCTGCAAAATATTGGTGCTCTCCGCTTATTCCTTGTTCCTCTGCACCTTTAAAATTGATCGCGAACTGTGATGAAATGTTGCTGATACGAGCAGAATTACGTCTTTTTTTCTCCGCAAAAAAAAAAACAATGAAAAAATTTGCAGATTATACATTGATGGAAATTGGTGCGTTTGAGTCGCATATCGAAAAGTTCGTTTACAGCACATCCTGAAAAACAGTTTTTGACGGTCTCAGCATAAAAGAATATTCCAAATTCGCCAAATCTGGTTCTATTCCCGAATGTGTGAAGTCAAAGCCGCGGTACGGTTCGCAGCTCCGAGAAAAATAAAATCAAGAAATGCACCCAGGTTTTGAATAAATGTTTACATCGTTCAGAAAATGTTCAGCTTAATGTCTTCGGACAGAAGGAAAGAAGAATGCCGCGGTGGTTGATTGCAACACTAGGGTAATGTTGAAGTGGCTACATTAGTTTAGACATAAATATAAGTATAAGACATGCTATGATGTCAGTCTCGTTATTTACGGCCGACTGCATCAACCCCGCTGCCAACATTGATGAACAGCTGCGCACTAAGCAGTCAATCAAACAGGGAAACCTTCCTTTTAAATTTTAACAAGAAGTATATCGGGTATCTCGCGCATTTTCTTGAGTAATTAGAGAAAAGATGTACCGTGTGTGGGGAATAGGAATATGTTACAGTGAAGGTCTGAAGAATCCACGGTACTCCTAATAGTTTTTATATTGTCTGCTTCCTATAAGCCGATGCATGGCATTTTTTGCGTGTGTCTTTCATATTGGACTGACTTCTATTTGTATTATGAAAAATTAGAAGAGATTGATATACTGTACTCTGTAGGATATTTATTCCGTTGAAATTTATTCGAACAGCCGGGTCAGATGCGCAGAAAAAAAACCCTCCCGCACGATGCTGATTAAAAATGTAATATTACATAGCATTTTTTCTTATTTTGATTGAATCACTTTCAAGGCGTGGACCTGCTTGTATACCATCTCTTGATTGATTTATGTTACTAAAGGATGCAGTATTTCATATTATTAACAAAATCTGCTTTTAATATGCACATCTTGCTCAATTTCCCCGAGTTATGCATTTATTCAATTATCCCACGTACTTCTTCTACTCGAAATTTGCACGAATCAGCGGAATGCTTGTTAAACTCACATTTTTAACTTTCCCAGCGAAAATTTCAAAAATATTTGCGCGCATTATTCTGGGATCACATTAAATATCAATAATGAAAAAGAAACGACCAGATTTCTAATTTTATTTCAAATAAATTTACAATAATTGCTGTTCCAATCGTTGAACTGTAAAAATGTTTCACTGAAAATTTACTTGTGCGCGTCGCACGAGGGGATACGCTTTCATTTAAGTTTGCAGCTTAAAAATGAAGATGCACGTCTTTTGCAAGGTCGCATGGTGCTCGAGTTGATGGGGTATTCGAGATTTTTTAAATTTATTTTGCTCTAGAGATCTTCCAATTTTTTTTATTGCTTTTTGCCGACGTGTAATACAGCATCTCAAGATAATATGCTCCCTACGTGTCCATTTATCATGGCAAAAATTCAACAAGGCTGCTTCTGTACCATGAAAATCTTGCGGGCCGCCAGCAGACAGGTGCCCGGGCACAGAAAGCCAAGCCTTGTCGATAAATGAGAATACTGAACCTGCACCATCCTCAACCCATCACTGATGGACCGTCCCGGGGACTTTCTTAGAACCCCTTTTTCCGCAAAGCTCTCTCGATGACAAGAAATCGACTCTCGTCGCAGGTTGTACGAGGCAGACGGGAAGGTATGCGCCAGGTGCCACTCGGAATGCAAGCAGATGTGCCGCGGCCCAGGCGCGGGCAACTGCACCGACTGTCTCCACGTCAAGGACGGGCCCTTCTGTGTCGCCCAGTGTCCAGGCACCAAATACCAGCAGGGTGGCGTTTGCAAGGACTGTCACGCCAATTGCGACGACGGCTGCGACGGGCCCGGCGCATTCATCGGGCCTCGCGGGTGCCATTCTTGCAAACGGGGAATCGCCGATTTCTACAACAACGTCACGGTATGTTGTAGAACAACAAAAAAAAGAACAATTTACCGTTTCTACTCCAGTGCTACGCGCACCTTTTTTTTTTCGAAATCAGGGAAAAAGCAGATGCGCTTCTTAACATTAGAAGGTAATTTAAAGTTTCAGCAGTGTGCTTGATTCCAAAAGGGGATTTTTGACCGATTTCTACGGACAATTCAAGAAATCTAAACGATTAAAAATTAAAATTCAATTTGACTACAATTAAAGTCAATGTGTGAATTCTGATTGATAAAAATATTTCAATTTTCAGTCTCTAAAATGGGAGAGGCATCTTACACAGGTATAAATCTGCATCCAAATTTTAGGTTGAAAAATTCCTTATGCGAGGGCACGTGGTACTCGAGTCAACAGGGTACAATTTCAAAACGGGGAAAAATGAAAACGCTGCCAAAATCCAGAGATTGATGCGGAAATGCTGTAGACTCAGAATATGCAGTACAATAATATATTAATGCTCTTAGAAGTACGGTACATGCAGACAAAATAGAGGATTATCGTAAAACTGCTTACAAAATACTTTCAACGGTTTGAAAATTGTCATTGCTTCTTGGCAAATACAATATTTCCAGAATGCTGTAATGCGGAAGAAAGTACATGGAATGGCAGGGTTCTACCAATGGAGAACGCTTTCTCTTTTAAAAGTTTGTGAAAATATTAAAAAAAAGTGGATAATGACGAAATAAGTTTCAAGTACTGCTTTTAATGTTCTGTGTGGGAATGGAATCAGTGTAGAGCACAATTTTTGGCCGTTTTACGACTGAAAACCGAGTTGCTTTGCGTCATTTATTACCTTGTGCTTGAAACCTTGAAGAACCTGACCAATTCCCACGCTGAGGAGCTGTTTACAACAAGGGTTGCTTGTTCATGATTCTTACTTTAAGAACTTTTATGCAAAAGTAGCGTTTTCGCAGAATAAATGAAATGCAATTTACTTCACACGCAAGCTGCATTTTGTATGCGGTTGTGTAATCGTGGATTCATGCAAATTCCGATACTTTTAAATTATTCTTTTAGATGAATTTAAAATCGTAACCTCAAAATCTTGTGTAGTCTTTCTGACTCCATAAACTAGCCCTTTAAACAGAAAAGCGTTCGATAAATGTCATAGAATGAACGCTGCACAACAATAGACGTTAATGATGTCCTGCGTTATAGGTTTACAATCATTGTACATGAAGAAAGCCAGAGAGAAATGCATTAAAACTTCGTACCGAATACAGTATTTTATTTTAACAACTGTCAGTGGAATAATTTTCCATCTGCAATTAATATTGTGCCAGAATACAATGCGTAAGACATTTGTTGAGTGGCCAAATTTTTTTTTTTGCTGAACCATAGCTCGATCCCAGAAAATTTTCCGATGTGCCGAAAAACATCAGCAGTCGTAATTGACAAAACCCGTCGTCCCCCTTTCCTTTTTTTTAATGTTTTTTTGCTTATTTTTTGCCAACGCAGGTCGTGAATTGTTTGCCGGAAGAAGCGCCGTGTCCCGCAGGCTACTTTTCAGAATACGTCGGAGAAAAGGAGGAGAACAAAGCGTTGAAACCCATGTCGGGGAAATACGTGTGCAGGAAGTGCCATGAACGGTGCAAACAGTGCACGGGTTACGGGTTCCACGTCAGCGTGTGTTCCGAGTGCACGTACGTGCGGAAAGGGGAACAGGTGAGTGACATGCGTGTTCCCGCGTCATATCCCGGAAGTCTGAGCCCTGTGACGGAAATGAAGTTCCGATCGCCGCTCCACGATCTCTGAGCTACTCGAGTCGATGGAATCCGATTAAAACAAGCATGAATAATGGCTCAATTATAACTGACCCATCCTTCTTCGCGTTAACTAGAAGCGGAGCGGGATGGAATTTCAATTCCGGGTGAATCGATCCGTCCATATATTGGAGCCGTCTGGAAATTTTTTTTTTTTAATTCTTGGTCATAGCCATAGTCGAGATTTTTCGAATTGAATATCACGAGACTTCGGCACCTGGACACCTGAAAAAAAAATCCAATGGCTTCATAAGCGATCCTTCTCCCTGACCGAGGTGAAATTAATGTAATCTTGTTCAAAACCATCTCTGCGATTCCCTGTATTCAGCATTTGGCAACTTCTAGAAAATCGCAGAATCATTATAAATTGAGTCTTTTTCTGGCAAAGAATTTACTCTTTTTTTCTCGAAGGACTCTTCATTAAAAATTTTAGTTGCGAGCATCCGGAATCGCGGAAAAATATTCGCACGGTAATTCTTAGAAAAGTTTTCGAAGACCGTTGTAGAATTTAGGAATGAAAGTTGTGCTATCCATGAAGTCCTCTTGATCAAGGGCTGGTTTAATTCTGCGTACAAAGTCTACGAACAACCAAGTCGAATGCTTCAAATCTCATAACTTCCCGGAATCAATAAGTGAAGGCATTTCGCCATTTCCTGTTTTGGAACCCAATGCCGCCCTTGACAGTGTTTTTTGAACCCTTGATTGCGTTTTGCAGTGCGAGGTGGAATGTCCACTCGATTTCTTCGAGGATAAGCCGCGGAAAGAATGCGTGCCGTGTCATTCCGAGTGCAGGATGTGCCATGGACCTCTGGCTTCCGATTGTTCCTCCTGTCTTCATTATCGCCTGTATCAGGTACGAATAACGGACACACGGGATTCTTCGTCGTTCGCTTTTTAAATTTCTCAGCTACCGAAAATTCCGCGAGAAATGGTCCGAATTGACTAGCTGTCAGGTGGCATTTTTCATAGCTTCTTCGGTTTGATTTCTTTTCTCCCTGGAGGAACTTGGGGAAAGAAAGATACTTTTTGATTCAAGAATTACACTTTCCAATGCCAAAACCGAGCAGGTCACCGTTACATTTTTTTAAACTGCCTTTAATTTTGTAAATTTGCTCAAGTACATCATGAGCTTCCGTTTGCTCTGGGATATGAAGTTGGATTTGAAAGCCGATAATTTCGTGGATGAGTCTCTGTTTTCATAAATTTATATGTTTTTCAAGCTGCCATGGGAATACCGTGAGACAATATTTTTCGTGTCAAATGATATTCCTGAAAAAAATTGACGTGGTATTCCTTTTTAGGATCCTGATTCCTTCGACTCTGCCAAGAATACCACGATGCCATATAATTGCACAGCCACGTGCCCGGAAGACTTCCCACACAAAGTTTTCCCGAAGGACTCCAGCGACGCTTATTGTGCCAGGGACATGAGCTTACTTGGGTGCGTTTCCGGATTTGAAGTACTTATTTTCATCGAGTGTCATTAATGTGACGTGGTCATGCGAGATGCCATAGCAATCTTGTGTGAAATTGGAATGCATAGCAATGCTGGGAAAATCCGGGAAACACAGTTTTTCATACCGAATTGTTTCAACCATTGAATTAAATACTGTACTTTAGCGTTAATGAAGATCAGAGTTCCGAGATTCTCTGTATTGATAGACTCGCTCCAAATTGATTTTCTTCACAGCATATTAATATGTTCATAACTTATTTTTTCTTCTGTCTTCGGCAGACCTTCTTTTGATATACAGTAATTCACAAAGAAATTCCTTTTATAGATGTGATATTTGGAAGTGAAAGCGGTTTTGTGTTTTCAACTGAGGGAAAAAACCCCTATTTTCAGTAGCTATAAAACCACAAAATTTCAAAAATGAGAACACTCAAATTTTGATTTGGACCTGAATTTGACTAATTTTCAGTTGTTTCCATTAGAATACATTTTTATGCTAAACTTGGTCCACAAGTTTCCATTAGAACCCGATATTGTGCACACACAAATTTCTAAAATAATAAAAAAATGTATTCCTGTCTATGACTCACGAACCCCTTTTTCTCATCTCAAATATGAGAAAAAGGGTATACGCGTGGTACTCGATTAAATATGGTGGGTATCTTTTTTCTATGAATTTCTAAATTGTTTTCTTCACTTGAAATATTTGCAGGCAAGCTAATATGCCCGCGATTCTCGGAGGCGTGATGGGTGTGTTGGCGCTGCTCTTCGTAGTCATGGTGTTCCAAATGTACAAGTGCTACAACAAGGCCAAGTTCAAGTCCGACGTCGTGAAGATGACCACTCAAATGCCCGGGGTTGAAGGAAACCTGGACGAGTTGGTGAAGCAGCCGACGATAGGCCCAAACCTGGCCCAACTCCGCACCGTGAAAGAAGCCGAGCTGCGCAAGGGAGACATGTTGGGTTACGGAGCCTTTGGGTCAGTCTACAAAGGCGTTTGGGTTCCGGAAGGGGAAAACGTGAAAATTCCAGTGGCCATTAAAGTTCTTCATGATGGAGCGGGTCATGACTCTGGGCGAGCTTTCCTTGACGAGGCAAAAATTATGGCCTCAGTCGAGCACCCGAATTTACTGCAGGTATGCAAGACTGTACACGCTTTATATCGGTACGGGGAAAGAAAATTATAAATTCATTTGCATATTTTACGGGATATTTATCGTACGTCAACACCCTTATCCAGCAAGTTTATCTGGATAGGCAAGCATATCGAAATTTATTTTTATCGAATGGCGCTTGGAACCTGTCCAGGATGACAGTGTTCTAAATTTTAAAGCTCGTATGAATCTTGATGGAATTCCGGTTTCATGTTTTATGAATGTGTATGTATTTTCAGCTCCTTGCCGTCTGCATGACATCACCAATGATGCTGGTAACGCAATTGATGCCTTTGGGGTGTTTGTTGACCTATGTGAGGGACAACATGGATAGGATTGGATCCAAGGCAATGTTGTCTTGGTGCACGCAAATCGCCAGAGGTGAGGAATCCCATGAAATATCGGTCCATCCTGTGATTTTAAAGCACTTTCACGTAATATTCTTGATGGAATTAATTTTTTCCCACGAATATGCATAGCTGCATTACAGGATAGGCATAAATTCAATTTGTTAATGCAATCGATAGAAATTCTGGTGGAAGTTCAATTTCAAGCGCGTGGTATCACCATATTTTTATTTAAGTCACGGGAATCTTTCAGGCACCACCATCACGAGCATGAGACCTTAAAAAACCAGGATGAGTTCAAGTACAGATAATTGATTCCAGCCTGAGTGATAAATTATTTTTTAGTGGACTGTGGATTACTTTTTTCACATACTGTATTCGGTAATTTATCGGAATGGGTTTAATTATTGAAAAAAAAAAAGAATCAAGAGCCAGTCCACAAAATAGCTGATCAAACTGAAGATCAAACCTTTCCTTCATAGCTGTAATAAATCCTGAGCGCTTTTTAATATTGAAGTATTGTATATACTTTACTACAACAGCATTATGAGGAAATCGAAAAATGAAACTTATTACAGGTACAGTATAGTAGATATATTTCTGCAGCAAATTGATAGATCTTTGACCGAAAAAACTCTTTGTATGGAAAATGTCTGTTTATGAAATCGCAGCACAGAGACTTCGCCTACGTAAGTTTTCGCTTAAACAAAATCTAAGCGTATGGATCTTTAAAACTTTCCAAAAATTGATCAAGGGAGGAAAAAATTCTGGGTTTATTCCCAGTTCCTCGGTCATATTGTGGTCCACTCGAATGGACACTGGCATCGTTTTGACACGGGTCTTGTCATTCGAGCTATTATCCGGAGACCCATGTACGGAGTTTGGTTATATGGCTAGGAGCTCGGTTATTCTGCTGTCACTTCTGACATTTATGACGCCACGGGTCTTCTCTCTTGTTTTTTTTCCCCCGATTCTTTCGTGGGAGCAGGAATGGCTTACTTGGAAGACAAACGATTGGTTCACCGGGACTTGGCAGCCAGGAACGTCCTTGTGCAGACACCGCAGCACATAAAAATCACGGATTTCGGGCTCGCCAAGTTGCTGGAAATTAACGAGGAGGCGTACAGAGCAGTGGGCGGGAAAATGCCCATCAAGTGGCTCGCCATGGAGTGCATCACCCAGCGCATATTCACGCACAAAAGCGACGTGTGGGCATTCGGTAATTATTTCATCACCCGGGTTTCGATAACTCGTTATTTACACGCTCGGTTTTTTTAATTAATTATTTATTTATATATATTTTTAGGTGTGACTGTTTGGGAAGTGTTGACGTACGGGATGAAGCCGTATGAGAATATCCCGGCGTGGGAAGTCGCGGAGTTCCTGCAGAAAGGTGAAAGACTCCAGCAGCCGCCAATTGCGTCCTTGGACGTCTACATGATCATGATCAAGTGCTGGATCTTGTGTCCTGACGACAGGCCTTCCTTCCGGGAGCTGGCTGACGAGTTTTCCAAAATGTCACGCGATCCCGGTCGTTACCTCGCCATCAAAGGTCCAGTGCTGCAAAATATTCAAATTCTGCATGTTTGACAATAATTAAATGCGAAACAATATTTGAAAGCCTCTTAGAGTTGGTTTTTCAAGTACCGTATATTACCTGTAGAGTATACTAAATTGCATGGGTAAAAACTCATCGTGATTACTCAACTACTGTATGAGCATTGAGAAAAACTGAGCGGCTTTGAAAATGGTTTTTCTGCTTTTTCGAAACAGATTTTTCCATTGGGAGTTTGCAAAATCGCGTGCATACTTTCATTCACTAAACTTCCATAAACTCATGAATGGTAGAAAAAATCTGAAGCCAAATACGGTAGAACGTTTCTGAACCACAAAAAATGTTTTACGAACATAATGCCCGATTCCAAATCATAGCAAGGATAGCCAGTGTTTAAGTGCATGAGCAAATAGCTTATTTTTTTTCAAATTTCTCTGCTTTTTATTGGTGATACTAACTGGTGATTAATCAAGCAACATATAATCTCATTGCTAATTTTGTCTGGGCGATACTTTCATCGTAGGTAGATGTCACTGTCACAATAACACTATACTTAACTGTATAATAAAGGTGGTATTGTCACAATAGAACAAAATTGTCTCAAAAACTATTTTTTCCGGTCCCCTGAATTTCATTGTAGAGAACCACTATAAAATGGGTACAGAACCCCATGAGACCACAAAAAAATCGTTATGCAGAGAAAATCGTTGTAGACAAGTTCATAGTAGAGAGAATACGACTAACTGTATATTCACTTTACATCATCCGTTTCTGGGTTTATTCTTAACAAGTTTGAGCATCGTGTTATCTTAGAAATATATTAACTTACAGAATACCCTTTTTGGAAGTTTCAGAAGAAACCATTTAGAAACGACAGGCCTTCCTTCCGGGAGCTGGCTGACGAGTTTTCCAAAATGTCACGCGATCCCGGTCGTTACCTCGCCATCAAAGGTCCAGTGCTGCAAAATATTCAAATTCTGCATGTTTGACAATAATTGAATGCGAAACAATATTTAAAATCCGCTTCCAGTTGGTTTTTACTAAATTGCATGGGTAAAAATTCATCGTGGTTACTCAACTACTGTATGAGCATTGAGAAAAACTGAGCGGCTTTGCAAATAACTGACCTGTGTTATGGAATGGTTTTTCTGCTTTTTCGAAGCAGATTTTTCCATTGGGAGTTTGCAAAATCACATGCATACTTTTATTCACTAAACTTCCATAAACTCATGAATGGTAGAAAAAATCTGAAGCCAAATACTGTAGAACGTTTCTGAACCACAAAAAAATGTTTTACGAACATAATGCCCGATTCCAAATCATAGCAAGGATTGCCAGTGTTTAAGTGCATGAGCAAATAGCTTATTTTTTTCAAATTTCTATGCTTTTTATTGGTGATACTAACTGGTGATTAATCAAGCAACATATAATCTCATTGATAATTTTGTCCGAGCGATACTTTCATCATAGGTAGATGTCACTGTCACAGTAACACTATACTTTACTGTATAATAAAGGTGGTATTGTCACAATAGAACGAAATTGTCTCAAAAACTATTTTTTCCGGTCCCCTGAATTCCATTGTAGAGAACCACTATAAAATGGGTACAGAACCCCATGAGACCACAAAGAAATCGTTATGCAGAGAAAATCGTTGTAGACAAGTTCATAGTAGAGAGAATACGACTAACTGTATATTCACTTTACATCATCCGTTTCTGGGTTTATTCTTAACAAGTTTGAGCATCGCTATGCAGAGAAGATCATGATGCAAAGATCGATTTCATTCCTCGCATGCTTTTTATTCAAGCATGATAGAAATTTATTTAGCTGCTTCAATGATTATTTTCAAAATTCCTCAATAATGTTGCTCACCAATCCTTTTCCGCAGATACATTTTTTTGGAAGATTAACTTATAGGAAATTTTAAAGATGGTGTGTGATTCAGTTTATTTATATATATATATGTATTAATTTATTTTGTCAAACAGGTGATCGATTAATGCGTCTCCCGTCATACACGACGCAAGACCAACGAGAAATGATTCGCTCGCTGGCCGCCCCGCACATAGAAGACGGCTCAGAAATCGTGATGGACGCCGAGGAATACCTGCAACCCCGGGACTCCAGCAACCTGGCGACCCGAGACCAGTCCCTCTCCGACGGGTCCAGCACGAACGCCACCCACCAGCACGGGTTCGGCCGGATCCGGCAATTCGGCCACCCGCACCCCTCGCGCCACTCCGTCATGGGTTCGCTCACGTCCTGGGTCGGGGACTCGAGTCGGGCCAACTTGTCGGATTGCACGGCCATCTTGGGCGCGTCTCACCAGCAACTCCACACCGGACGTCCGCGTCGACGCAGCAGCCAAGATCCGGCCGTCACTAGTCATTTCGGGTCCATGATCGGCATCCCGGTGCACGAGGCCGGGGTTATGGCCAGCAGCTTCATGTCCATGCCGAGAGATGGCGTCATGTCCCGAACGGCGACGCCGAACCCCTTATATGTTAACCAGAGCTTCGGGATGTTGCTGGAAGAACCTGCTGCCAGGGGTTCCGTCGGGGCGTTGCGCCATTCCGGTCCTCGGGCAGAATCCGCACATTCCATGTCGAGTAAGTTTCCTCTCGATGAATCCTCTTTTTTTTTTTCCTTTTCTTTCATAGTCCTAAGCCGATCTTTCTCAACCCTACGCGCCACAAAAAGAACGATTCGTGTGAAAGAATTTCAAATTACTGTACCTTGTAAAATACTAGGGCATTCCATGTTGTGTGAATATCCTCGCCGCTCTTTTTTTGTGCTTCGCTTTCAACTTCGGTTATTTTACGTATTTAAAAACATGTGAAATGTGGCATGCTTTCATTATAAATCGGCATGTTTGATGACGGTAAATTTCTTTTCGAATAGTTTTTCATCTCCCTCATTACAGTATTTTACCACTTTCGTTATCTTTCGCTGACCTTTCTAACTCTTATACACTATGAAAATGGGCAGTGCAAGTGGTGTATTACAAAATATTTACAGTATAAGTTACCTTTATTGTTATTTATAATTTTTGCTCCTAAGATCATATTCATTGTTGAATAAATTGTTTTTTTTAATGTTGCCCCTATCCGTCTAGGCATTTTACACAAAAAAGCAATATTTACTTCTGTACTTCGATATTATAAAAATCAATTCGAAAATTTAAAACATTCAATTTTACAGGAATAACTTTCAAAGGATTTTCATGTAAGCCTCGTTCATCAAGAGCAGTTTGCTTGAATAAAAAAAAAACTAGTTTCTCGAAGCAAAGATGGTGATTGAGGCCTTTGAACCAAAGTCGCGGAGACTGCGTCGAATGGAATGTCCGTGAGACCAACCCTGCGATGTTAAATGTCCTCGTTAATTATTAAAGCCGATAAAAGAGTCGATTTTTTTGTTTCGAGGAGGTCGGTATATAATGAGAGCCATCATATCTGGGGCCCCCACGATTCTTGGATTATCTGAGAAGGAACTAATTGCCCTCCGGAATGCGGAGAAAGTGGATACCTGCGGACTGCGAATAACTGCTCTCGGCTGCTGAGCTTTATAGCTCTACGGAGTCTAAGGGATGAAGCTATTATTTTGCTTCTCTCCCTTTTGTGTAAATGTAGCTACCGGTGAGTTGCAGCCAACGTCTTCACGCGAAACGGGCGCCACTGGGCCTTTGTATCGCCGCCGTGACGCCAAAGTCGGGGAAATGAAACTCCAGTTGCCGTTGGACGACAACGACTACATTATGCCGTCCCCGCAGAACGGGGGTAGTGCCAAGAAGCCCAATAGTGCACAGGCCAGATACCCGTTTGACGTTCCTGATCATGGCAGCAGAGGTGGGTCTTTCATCTTTATTTTCTTTTTCGGCGCAACGCAAAATTTAAAAGCCTTTTCAGCTCTCCTACGTGTTATAGAAATAAATTAGACCTGGTCATCGAATGCCGTAATTATCCCGTGCGGGTAACGCTTTTTCTCTCAAAAATCCTGAGTAAAAACCTCGCTTAATAAGCCCCAACTATTTGGCCTGTACAGTACTCGGGATAATGTTAAGGAGCAAAATTCTGCTCTAAAATGGCTGACTTTTCAAACAAAACACAGCATTTCTGTGGTTTTTTAATCATTGTTACAAGAACATTTTTATTTCTCAATCTAGAGGCTGCGTGAAAGAGGAATATCTTCTCAGGGAAATGTTTTGTTGAAACAGGAAAATTTCCTCAATTTAGTCTGTTGATTTGATTATTCAAATACATGCTTTCTGATATCAAGCATGTGCGCAATACAGGTGGACTCTCTCTGCAACGAAATTCAAGGGGCCAAAATAAGTTCCTTGTAGAGAGACTTTTGTTGTAGAAAATCCTTCGAACATGTGGATAGGACCCTGTGGGACAAGATAAATCGTTCTACGGAGGAAATCATTGTAGAGAGAGTCCACCTGTACTAAAATAACCTATGAATACGCAGGGAATGGTTGAAGAGAAAACTGTGGTTTTCATTTTTTCAGGCATATTATTTTCCCACTACTTGATTTTCTTTATTAGATCTAAATAACTTAGTTTTCAGGCCGTTATTAATTTTTTAGGAAATTTTTTTCGGATGCCATGGAAATGGTGTATAGTAAAGGCGGACTCTCTACAAGGATTGTTCTAATAATTTTCAAGCAGCTCATCATCCGTCATACAGGGAATAACGAATTTAATTGATGGTCTCATGGGTACAGTAATACTTTTTTTCTTGGAGCTTAGAGATGATCGAGTGTCCCGAGTTTTCGCTGACTCAGTCAGCAAAAACGTGTGATTCGGCGTGACGAAGTGTTGAGCGGGTCGCTTTGAAATTGCGGAATTCTTTTCCATAGCCAACTCATGCGCCTCTGCTCCTCCTTCAGCCGGCGTGTTCAACGGGGGGATGGCGTTCAATGTGGCGGCCTTCCTGGCGACCAACATGAACCCTAGCCCCACGGCGGGCTGGGACAACCCGGAATACCACCTAATGGCGCAAAAGTTCGAGCAGCAGCAGCGACAGCGTCTGTCCAGCCACAACGTCAGCACAGCGTCCTCGCCGTCGTACCAGGCGTCGAGTTTGGCGAGCACGGCATCCCCGTTTTCCGGTCGGTTCGGAACCCGTGCCAACGACAGCCCGTCGTTCCCCGCCCTGGCATCAACTGCCGTGCGGTACCAGAACACTGACCTGGCGTCGCCGACCGAGGTCAGGGAACGGTTCGGGCCCACTAGAAGTTCGGAAGAAGAGTCGGACCACGAGTATTACAACGAAATTGACCGACTCAAGTACGAGATGAAACCGCTGCAGCCGAATGGTTCGCGACGGAATGAAACCACTGTGTGAAGGGGTCGCTGTGATCACGCTTGTCAAATGGTTCGGTGCCGTATGGGATCCGCCGCATTGGGATTCGTTCCGTTGTTTCGGAGAGCTTTGCTTCTTTGCTTTCATCATGAACCGCGCTGTAGCTTATCACTATTTTATTTTTTTGTAGCACTTCAGATAGAGTTGAATCAAGCATGCACAAAGAGAAATATCCTGAAGAAAACGCTTGACATGCAGGACTCCTAAAATTTTGTTCTGAAATGTGATATTTTTTTTCTAAGCCGTCGTGTCATAATTGGCAAGTGTTCAGCTTTTTTGATGGTTTTGTTATGCTGGATTGGTTGTCGCTGATTTATAAATGCCCCTTTGTTCAGTGCATGAACACGCAGTTCCTCGCGCAGATATGTCGAAATTTCTGCGATAATACAGCAAAAAGTGCTTTTGTGGAAGAAAACCTGAGTCGAATTTGTCTATCATATATCCTTTTTGTCCCATGATACGAATGTGGTGCTCTTTTTGTTGAAAGTCCAAATCTGTAGGGTGGTATTTGATGTACATCTCATTCAGAACAATCAATTTCTAATAAATTCGGAAGGAAGTGGAATACGTGAATTTTCCTTGCTTTGAATCACAGGGAGTTGGGAGAAAAATGCGCTTAAAATCCAAAATAACCTAATTTGCAGTCAGAGTTAACGAAAACTTCCAAGAGATATATTTTCGCGTCGACAACTCCGAAGAACGTCTGCAGCATTGTAATCCAAAGTACTGTATTGTGCTGTGGTTGAACTTCTGAAAAATTGTTTGAATTAAGATACCCAGAATTTATTGATTAGGGGCCGGCTTCCTGCATTTTTGTGCACCGATGTCTGAGTCTCTGAAAGAAAACGTGTCGAACTTTCAGCCCTACTGCATCATCCGGCTGAATTGAAAATAAATGGAAAATGGTCGCATAATTGCAGCGACATCTATTTTATATTGAGAAGATCTAAATCTCCAGGTTTGTAACAACGCGGTTAGGGATCACAGTTGGATTCACGTAGGCGAAGTTGTGATCCCTCTTACCTTTAATTGCTATACAGATTAATTAAACTTTTGGCGCATCATGCAATTTTTACATGTAAACACATCCACTTTCGCTCTTTCAATGCCCAATGGAAAAAATTAAAATATCAGAAATATATTCAAGGAAAAGTGCATACAGTATTCAGTATATTAGAAGTGGATACAATGTATGCATGATGAATACTTTTTATAGAAACTTCCCTTGTCCGCGCAAAATTTGGTTTAGTCCTCTGTTCAGACTTTTTCCTGGTATCGAAAAAACTTTGACAGTCACGCGTATACTAGAGCATTAGCATGAAATCTAAATCTGCTTTGAAAAATCAAACATTTCAGAAACTGCATACAGTCTACGTAGACTTTTCAACGTATTTCACTTGCACATCATACAATTCACTTCCATCTCTGTCCAGATCAGTTCCAATATACGGCCAAATTAGACATTCATATGAAAATTTTCCAAATTATTTTTTTGTATTTTAATCAAAGAATACATTTTGACAAAATTTGAGCTTGATTAAGCTTCAGGAAATATCCACGAGAGATGACTAGTGGATCTAAAAGATTTCACTACACCCGGAATTCATTCAAAAATTCACGAATTTTTTTTATAAGTATTGTAATAAGTACAGTACTGATGTCTCTGTAAAGAAGTGAGCTAAATAGACCTTATCCATAGAATGCCCACGAGAGCCTGTATACAGTAGAATAGATGACACTTCGTAAAATCGTAATACACCGTAGTTATTTTTTGGCAACCTCAGAAATGGATGAAAATTTGCAATTCTATCATATACATATCTGGCATCTGAAGGAAACCAGTTCTGCATTTTACTTGCTCGTAAAAAGACCTAAAAAATGTATTCTCGGCTCTCAGTACGTCCGAACAAAATGCTTGTCACCTCATAACTCCGGCCTTCATCGTAGAAACTTGGGTTATTGATCATCCCATATGCTACTTTGATGCCCCCTTCACACCCATCAATCATTTTTTTCTATGAGGTTCTTTGCCAGGAACGTTTCGCTTCGAGATATTCCTTAAATGTATGCGATATCTTTGGTTTGCTGCATATGGCCCGATATCTCTCAAATAAGGCATCTGCGCTTCGTCTTTCCTATATTTATTGTTCTCCTCTATGCGTATATATATACAGACGCACGCATAAAGTGGCCCACCCATTTGCAGCGATTACCCGCTCGAAGAAACTGCCATGATCGGTCTTCTCAGTAACATCCAGCATTGATGATTCTCAGGTGAAGCAGAAGTCTCTGAACAAAGTCTAGCCATGTTGACGCAGCCCCTCGACTGTCCCTTTCATTTTCTGCCGTTCTGCGTGGAACTGAAATCCAATCCCAACATGAAAGCCTTTCAATATAACTGAAACAAACAGGCAAAAGATATAGCCACATGTACCTCGGCAATTTTTCTGTTCGTGATTTGATGAATGGTGTCGCTTTTTCTTTCACGATGGTATTTCGAATCGTAATTTTGACATATTTTTTTTTGCTTTGATGTACGGAGCACGTCTGCAGACTGGAAGTATACAGTGGATGCTTCGTTGCCTTCTGCATTAGGATTCTCAGTATTTATGGTTTATGATTGCTTGATGCATACATGCAACAGGACAAACTATTGCTTTTCTCAGCACGGATGCAGTGCTTATGCAAAATAACTAAATAATCAGGATTTCCCATTCATAAAACATTGGCTGTGCCGCGGAGAACATCAAGGGCATTTTTTCCTCAAGAATTGGCTTTACTTTTATGCGACATCCTTCCAAGATTCATACATATGAACTTGCTGGTATATGGAGTTCACGTATTCTTCATCACACTCGCAGCGCTCGTTTATTAAATGCGGTTGACGATAGAAAGGAGGAATGAAATTTAAATCCACGGCTTGGTTGGAAAAATTTGGGGATGATATATCAATGAATGCAGTCCAATCATACACGAACTTGCAGGTGAGTTAATTTATATTCAAGCCTCGATGAGCCGCCACCAATTCTTTGTGAGGTTTATGACGGTTTAACAGCGTTGGTTTTTTTTTAAAGGGGTTTGGTATTTTATCAAATAATGAAAATCAAGTATAATGGGAAATTAAATTCTTATCTTCTATAGAAAACAATCAAAATAACCCTGGGATGCGTAAATTATATCCATCGAATTTCCTCAAGAAGTAAATTATGTCAGCTTTGTGTTTGTGTTTTTTAAATTGGAGACCTCATCGCACGTTGAATCTTGAATCTTTTTAGTGGTGGTTCAAGACAAAATTAATTGGCAGGGGCATATTTGAGTTGCCGATAATTTTTGCGGATGGCATTTCAAAGGGCTACTGGTATTATCATTAAGGTTTTTTTTTTCAAAATAAATTTG